TGTGGTGATGTAGCTAAACTGAATGGACAGTTAAATAAGATATTTGTTGAACGCTTGGTTGATATTGAAAATGGGGTTAAAGGCGACACTGATGTAAGTAATTTGATAAAAATCTCAAGTACATTGGTCCTTATGAATAAAAACTAATGGGGATTTCGTTTCTTCCCAAAAATGTTGTCCTTCCACGTTGAAAAATGTGTCTATTGATACACTCACCCCTGTAAAAGGGCATGTTTTTGCCTTCTTGTCTTTGTCTAGTTCACGCTTTACATATCTAATATTCTCGTTTTAAGCAAAAACCATCTCCCCTGATAAAGCTTTAAAGAGCACAGAATGTGCCGTGTTTGCCTTGCAAGAGTGTCACATATTAAGAAACGAACACAAAATTTTCTCACCGTTTGCCTTTATTCAAGGCCATGGTGAAATAATAATGTGTTGTCACTTAGGGGGTGGTTGTTATAATTTTGGCAATTTTGGCATACCAGCGTTACAATAATCCCTAATCTATTCATCCCAATTTCATTTCTGAGCAAAATGGAACCAAAAATGGAGCAGACAATTTTGTGAAAAATGTGTGCGTAGGTATCTCTTACTACGTTTATACGCACGTATCATTTGCAAATAACAATTTGCAAAATGGTAAAATTTGCCGTATAAGTTGAGTTACCGAAAACCGCAGATGTAACTCCAGAGGTAGACTTCATAGACTTAATGAACTGCCAAAAATACTTAGGACTAGATTTGATGTTGCTTTCAACGCCCAAAATGTAATTTTTATACAGAAATTTATTCAAAGTTGAATTTTTTCGAACATTGAAGATATAATGTATAAGCGTAGAGAGTATTATATTGTTTAGACCTCTTATGAAGCTTATTTCGCCGATTCTTTAGCTTTTTTAAATCTCGTGTATACCAAGGAAGCTTATACGTCAATTTACGAATTAGTGGAATATTTTGGCGACAAATCTCTACCACTTTAGACCTAAAGGCAGAATAACAATCCGAGGTAGCGGAACTCAAGAGCAGCTCATCCCAGTTAACTTTGATTAAAGAGTTATTGACCCTTGAAAAGTCCCACTTTGAGAAATTAAGAGCCATTGTCTCTTCACATTTAGTGCCTGTAAATTCATAAAACTTTACGTTGAGGGCCACGGAAACATGATGCTTGTCTGTAGGCAAGATCGGCGAGTAACATTCCGAAATAGTAGCGTTGATATTATCACTAACAAAAACGAGATCTAAAATTCGATTAAGCTTGTTTTTGAAACAATTCAATTGCACAAAGTTAAGACTTAAAATATCATCAACAAAGTAAGATTCGACCTCTGTATTAACATTCGTTGGTATAAGACCCCATTTTGACAGATTATTAGACCAGATAATGTTTGGAAGACTGAAATCACCGAACACACATAGATGACTAGTTGTTAACACATTGTGAACCAAATATGAAATATTGTCTGTATTAGTTTTATAAAGACTAAAATTACTACCAGCCAAATTCAGGAGTACCTTTGATGCAAACACACATTTGATCTAATATTGGGTCATTGTCGCTGAGCGGGACAACAAATGTATGAAGATAACGCCGAACTGCGATATTCTTGTACCACCGCGAGAAAATCCTGTACTATTGACATCCCGATCTTTCCGAAAAACGTTGAATAAGGTCGGATTGAAATATTCACTATCTAAAAAGTTTGCATTTAACCAAGTCTCCACGAAGACTATGACGTCAAAATCCGAAACTGAGCTACGGATGAGAATGTCGTCCGACTTTGTACGTAAGCCACCCATATTTTGAAAGTTTATCTTCAAATTCTTGAACGCTGGCACGGATATTTTGGAAATGACTAGGTTTGCTCTTTGGGATGCCCTCTTCGTTGAAAAAACTGAAAGGGACGCTCTTTGATATTGGTAGGCCAAAGCGCTGGGTCCAAAACCTTGTCATATTGAGATGCAATAACACCCAGTTTAAAATTTATCTTCGTAAGCGAGCATCCTCAGCAAGTTAGCATCCTTTTTGATGAGTTTAAAACAAGAAATGCTAATTCTGTCGATTCCAGTATTTTTTTCCATGAAAGAAATTATATTTTCCTCAGACACATTTGGTTTAAAAGAAGACAAATGTAGCCATTTTTTGTATCAGCGACATCTAATTCAGTACTGATACTGCGCCCAATAACAACGTTGCGTACATTTTTTCCTTCTTCTTTTTGTTCCTCTTCGTTTGGATGGTGACCCACTGTGCTTGTCCACTTAATAGCGAACCAACAGCACTGTTTATTTCAGTAGCGGCGGCGGCGGCAGCGGCAGCAGCAGCGTATGTGTCAGCAGAGGCATACAAGTAGTTGTCGACGTGTGATCCATAGCAGTTGTTAAAGCTGGGGGAGTAACCATAGCTGAGTTAACAGAATTAACACTGCGAGCGGAAGGTTGAGATTTCTCACACGCAACATCTATGTTACACTCAGGCATACATGTATCTGACGAAGTATGATGCATAGCAGTCGTTAAAGCTGGGGTATTAGCGATAACAGAGTTAGCACAGTGAGTGGAAGACTGAGATTTCACACTCGCGACGATTCTGCAATTCGAGCGAAGANCTACATCTTCCTCTTCTGAGCTTGTTGACACATCTACCTCTATAATACTTTTCAATTTTTGTATAGCCCTACCGCAAGCGTTGGCATCTTGGAAGTGAAGATTTTTAAACCTTGGGTCAAGAATTGTACCGAAAGCTGCATATTTGTTGTACTCGATAAGACCAAATCTTTTATTACACTCTGCCATGAGTTTTGATTGAAGCTGGATGACGCATTCAATGGATGTGGAAAATTTACGCACCTCAGATATAAGGCAGCTCACCATTGGTATAATTTTAGATAATGTTACGTAATTCTGTCCAGAAGCTTCTTTAGTCACGAATTCAAAAGGTTTTAATAGCTGAACAATTTTCTTGATCGCTTCAATTTCTTGGCCCGTTAACATCTCCGGACTATCTGTTGAATCAAGTGTCAGTGCAGATGCAAGTTTGAACATGTCCAGAAAACGTTCTAGCATGTAATATAGTGAATTCCAGCGTGTTTTTATGTCAATAATAAACTTTTTAGTCGATCCTTCGGGAACACCTGCCTCGATTTGTAATTTTCTCAATTTATCTGAATTTATTACGCTGTTCTTCACCCATTTTACGATATTTCTTACTTTGCTTATAAGAGCTTGTATGGAAGCAATATTTACGGCCGACTGAACGATCAAATTGATTGTATGTGCAAAACAAGGCAAGTGCTTGGATTCGCCTAGGGTTTGTCTTATCGCCGCTACCATATTTGCCCCATTGTCAGTTACTGCGCATGTAATTTTGGTCAATGGAATTCTCCAATCGTTGAGAATATCAGAAAACACGTNTTATTGTCAGTTACTGTGCATGTAATTTTGGTCAATGGAATTCTCCAATCGTTGAGAATATCAGAAAACACGTTGGATATATACTCAGCTGTATGGTTAGTATTGAGTTCTCTGGTAGCAATATTTAAATTTGTAATAGATGTTTGCTCTATAAAATGTGTCGTTATTCCCAAAAAACTTTTTTCATTCATAGTCTCGGTCCAGACATCAATTGTCATGCACAAGTCATTTGCTTTAGATATTTTAATAGAACACTCCCTCTTCATTACGTCATATTTATCGCAAAGTAGTTTTTTAAAATGTGTGGAGGAAGGCACTTTATACACAGGAGCTACTTCNCAGACCACTCCCTCTTCATTACGTCATATTTATCGCAAAGTAGTTTTTTAAAATGTGTGGAGGAAGGCACTTTATACACAGGAGCTACTTCTTTCATTAATTTCAAGAAT